CGACCTTGTCACCGTATATACAAGTTTTGTACGCCCGACTTGCGAGTATGCAGTCCCAGTCTGGCAACCGGGCATCACTCAAACTCAGAGACTCCAACTGGAAAGGATACAACGCAGAGCGGTCCGCACCATTCTCGGGGCACACTACACTAGCTACACGGACGCTTGTCACACCCTAGGCCTCACGACGTTGCACCAAAGACGCGAACACCTGTGTGAGACTTTCGCTAAAAAGCTCCTACAGTCAACCTGCTTCCGTGAGTGGCTACCTCCCTGCCGAGGAGAGATTAGCGGTAGAAAGACACGCAACAGCTCCCACTTGGACACTGTCAAAACAAAAACCGAACGCTACAAAAAAAGTCCTATACCTTACATGGTAGCACTACTTAATATGTCTTAGTCGTTTACCGAAATATTGTAAATAGTTTTTATGCCTGCTAACTGTGGTTTTAATCTTCTTAAAAATGAATTTGTAGCCTTTATTGTAATAATGACAGATATTTTATTGATGACTGCTCCGAGAATATATGCCGCACGATGTAAAGCATTATTAACTAGTTGATCGTAAGTACAGTAACCTTTATTCAAATATGAGTAATTTCAAATACCTTGGCGAATTTCCGTGTAATAATGTTTTAGTGACTGAATATCAGTAAATCATGAGTTAACTATTGTATAACCAGTGTAATTCAGCGCGCAATTTTGTGCGCTGCGAAACTGTGGTTTTGTTACTGTGAGAAAGAAATAAACCAATCACTACAAATATTATTACAAGAAAAAGGAAGGGGTGCTGCAGAACCACCCTGATCGCTAGATGTCCCCAATATTCAATCAGGGTGATGTCCAGGTATGAATGCAATATAAAGGCGCACAATGAAACCCACTAACTTAGTCCTGTGTTTGCCATAATATGTCCTGGGTGCCCCAGGTATATTATGTATGTCCCAGGTACTAGGTGTAGGCATCCTATGATAGCCCCAAGTGTTCTGATAGGAGGAGCCAGGAAGTCAAAATACCAGTATAGAGGTCCAGAAGGAAGAAAACAAATTACTGAACACACAAAGTACGTAGCCTTCACCGGGCCTTTCTACAGGAATACGGATCGTAGAATTTGGCAAAAAAAGAGAATGAAATTGGCCAAGAGTGTCCGGCCGCGGGGAGGTAGTTTCTTTCCCTCCGACCAGTCAACCCTACAAGGCGGCCAAACTTCCCTCGCAAATATTCTCCTATATATGATATATATAGCCAGCGTAGATAACGTTACATATAGAATACAACACGGGGTATTCCGTATCGCCCGAGGTATCAGCCCGACCGCGGGTCGGATCGGCCGCAGGCCGGAGGGAGATCCGACCCGCGGGAGGGCTGGGACCGAGGGTGATGCGGAATACACCGTGTTGTATTTTATTTATGTCATACCCACCCAAGAAAACACGCCTTTCAATGCGAAATTAACGAAAATTTGGTGTCCCTAAACCTAAACAATGCAACAACATCAATTCCAACGTCCGAATTTTGTGTTCGAATTTTCGAAAGCGGTGCAAGCGGTTTGGGCGAAACGCGTTCTAATCGTTCTATGGAGCATTTGGAAGGCCCGGGCCGTACGCGTTAAGAACTCCCGGGCCGTACCGCTAGTTATCACACGGGCCGGAACACCCGTATCGAACGTAATCGCGGCCCAGGTAGGACATAATACAAAGTATGGTACATGTATACTGAACAATAGATTCTTCATTTTTGTTCTTTCAGATCCTGTTCATTGACGTTCGATTGTAACTTTACAACATTATTATTCGAGTCCTTATCCATTTTTTGTAATATAGTAACAGTTATATTACATAAATATTATGCAATATAGTACATGTATATTATATACAGTATATTTCGCTCATTCTGCAGCTGCTTTATATCAAGAAGGTTTAATAAAAAATCCTTGTTTATACGATTTATAGTATCCGGAGGCATGATGATGATGATGATAGTATAACTCTCCTGGAAAAATTTGAATGTCATTCATGTCATCATAGTGGTCTTATTGACAGCATCTGGTTTCACTCATAAGGGACCGTACACTATACAACGAGCCAGAGTTTCCAGCCTTGGAGTGGAAGCGACATTTCATAGCTCTATTATCGCACACAGCAGATTTTGAGACTATCCTCATCAATTATGCAAATTAGATCCTGATTTGCATACTTAAAATTTTATTATGTCAAGCATCACTTAAGCTACATGTACCGACAGACCAAATGTCACGACGATCCATCAACCAGTTGTTTAGTTATCATCTCTCGAAGATTTAAAAAAAAAACCCGTCCTGCAGTTCCAGAACAAGCTGCTAGGGGGCCCAAACTCCCGTGACTTCATTTCATTTCATTTATTTCGAAACCTTTTAGCCCTGCAGGGCTAGTCTTCCAAGGCTCAAATACATGGAATACAGGCACATCGTTACATAATTATATACATAGGAAATAGTGCATAAGATACAGTGCAAACGTTTAAAAAGACAAAAATACATCAAACATCAAACATTTAAAGGAACGCATAAATAAATATTAACAATTTAAAAACTAGAGGTCGGCTTCATGTGACACTGTTTACTATGGCTTTCTTAAACTTGAGAAGGTTACTCAGTGTCTTGACATGATAAGGTAGGTCGTTCCACAACGATATAGCACGATACAGGAATGAGCGCTTCTTACTGTTCGTCTTAGGTTTGGGTAATCTAAAGTTGTACTGTGCAGCAGATCTGGTATTGTGAATGTGAGATACATGAACAGGCACAAGGGAGTTGTATATATACTGTGGTTCATGACTAGTGACAATCTTAAAGAACATAACCAGTGTGCTAGAGGAGAATCTCTCACTCACAGTCAGCCAACCAAGATCAATATGCATCTGCCTGGTAGGTGTATCAGGAGCACATTTCAATAATAATCTACAAGCCCTATTCTGCACTACTTGCAGTTTGCGCATGTTAGAGACTGACATGCTAGCTAAAACTGGTGCGCAATACTGTACCACTGACAAAACCAGTGCACAAACAACAACCTTACAAACTGCAAAAGGCATCGCCCACATGTGTCTTCTCAATAAGGCGATGTTTCTAGATTGTTTTGAGGCAATGTGAGTGACCTGTAAATTCCAGGTGAGCGACCGATCCATATGTAGCCCAAGCAAAACTGTCTCCCTCACTTCCTGAACCTTCTCATCACCGATAACAAGATCTAGTGAATTGTCAGGTATATTAGCTAGCCTACGTGGGGTTCCGAAAAGCATGCATTTGGTTTTAAGAATATTTAACACAAGTTTATTCATGCAAACCCAGTCTGATAAACTTACAAGGTCGGAATGCAAACCAACAGTGATGTCACTTATAGTCTTACCGGCTTTGTAGATAGATGTATCGTCTGCGTACATTTCAGGTGTACTGCTTAACACAGACAAAGGTAGGTCATTCGTAAACAGTGTAAAAATAAGCGGGCCTAAACAACTTCCCTGAGGGACACCACACTGAAGTACAGAGGGTTCAGAGAAATGACCATTGATATAAACAACCTGTGATCTAGTCTTGAGATAACTCGTCATCCATGACATAGCGTTTGAAGAAAAGCCATATGATTTAAGCTTGGCCAACAAAATATCATGGTCAACAAGGTCAAATGCGGCACTAAAATCCACAAACACTGCACCCACCAACTCGCCCCTGTCAAAAGCATTGAGCCAATCATCAGTCATTCTTAGTAGAGCAGTGACTTCGACTGTAGTACCAACGGAAGCCACTAGGGACACAGAATCTAATTATTTCCAGTTTTCGTCGCACCCTACAATTAAAAATTAAACGCACCAAGTATGAAACAAATCCATCCAGCTCCGTTCTTGAGTTATCTTGTTGACCAACAGACATACCCAATTAAAAATATAACCTGACATTTCATGGAGACTATGAAACGAAGGCCGACAAATGCTATTCCACTGGTTTTCATGACGACAAAAAGACTTGTGTCCTATAACATTTGTTGCCTCTTTGTAACGTCATATTTCAAATCTAGGCATTTATTTTTTCTGCCTTCTTGTTTTGTTTTCGCGCATTACATGTAGGGTCTCCAGAGGACGTCATCCATAAGAATAACTTGGTGTGGCCTAATCTCTAAATACAGATATGGCAATGACTGTGATCTGTTAAAGGACGAATCCATGCAGACACGCAATCCAACTTGGCATCCAGTCAAACAAGGCTACATAATTATAGCCCTTGGTCAAACCAAGGTCGTTGGTCAAACAAACGGAGTCCTAGCCAAATGTCAGACATTGTGTCACACAGGTACATTATGTAAGACCGTAGCCTCTTTGTTTGAACATGGCCGGGCGGCAGTGACTCAGCATGACTAAGCACAGATTCCCACCTGTAGGCGTGTCCATGATAACAGTCTCTTGTCACTGAGAATTCATTTTATAATAGTTGATGCAAAACGTTACATAATACAAAATTGAGCTGAAATGTAGTCGTAAACAAGGCAGAGCCAACAAGATGAAATCCATCTTAAAAACAGTATAAAATGAAACATTGTGGCAAGTTTGCGAATCTTTTTATAAATTGTACAAAATGATGTTGTCTTATAAGATAACTGCTTTCTCGGAGTGCTTTTCAAGTTAAGCTCAATTTATTGACCGATTTTCATCCAGCTAAAGACTGTCTCACCGTTCAATAAAAACATTGAAATGGAGTCAACGTCCTAATGAACAAACTCACATGGACATTATTTATTCAATCAGGCACGTAACAGGGAGACTCCATTATGTGTTGTAATAGGGATCCTTTCAAACACTCCCAGTGCCAATCCGGGCCCCATTACATTGTCGAATGGATATATAATATACGCTGTAATTTAAAGCCATCTCTACATTGGTTCTCACCGCCTGTCGCAATAAAACGTGTAGCCAGTAGGCGAACCCTCCCCATTTTACTCTGCATGTATAACGGTGTGTCCCGTCAAAGGTGAAAGGTCATCAGGAAGAAAACACGCCCTCGTCCCGGTAAGTCCTTCCGCCGCTCACAGCCCGCCGTTGTACTGCAGACCTCGGGCGTTTCTTCCTCTTGTAGCAGCGACTTCCAGGATTGAAGGTAAGCAGAAATCAAACAGGGACATGTTGGCACCGGTGTGGTTCCACAGAACGGTGAGAGGGTACGTAAACGACCGAGCGCCTTCTTGGTAACCGAGTGAATCTCCCCCTCTAACGTTAACATATGGGAACGATATAAACGCGGGCGAACAATATTATGCAAGGAGTTAGTGGCTTTCCAACTGGTGTACTGGCGTTTTGACTGGCGATTTGATTGTATGCCTACAAATACCGTACAGTACGTACGATATGGTACCCTTGTAATGTAAGCCCGAGTCAAGAGTCGCCACGGCTGACGATATGGTATATAGTTGAAAGTGCTCCATCATGCTATGCAGTGTTGAGTTACACCCAAGGGTAGGTTCAATCAGTTGAACAATACAGGTGAATATTTTAAAAGGTTTGCGTGGGAGGTAAGGCGAGGTATAACGTTATGAATTTTTCAAGGAACAAATTACATTTAGGAAACTTCCCTGTTTTACCTTCGTAGTGGTCATTGCAGTAGCCTACTGCTGACAACCTCATATCACAGATGAGGGCCTGCAAGGGGGGGTCCCGACAGCGCTCTACGCTGAATTCGGAAACCTCTCGAGTACGCTTTATGATAAATTCCAAGTGGTTACAATGCATTACGTAGAATTAAAACGCTGAATACGCTCTACGCAAAAATATTAGAGCAGTCCGTCTACGCTCTACGTAGAATTAAAACGGCCGATTACGCTCTACGGAAAAGGGCTTGCGGGCCCCCTCATATCACAGATCCCATTGTTGCTCCCTAATAATCTTTTGGGAGGCGAGTATCGAAGACCCAGTGTACAAATAGGATAGCACCATTACTATTGTTGCAGGGCTTACATCCCTTGCTTACACTTTTGTACATTTCCATAATGTTATACATGGGGGCCCGCATTCCCAACTTTACTGTGCTCATTCTTTCATGGAGCAAGTCACGACATTCAGGGAACAACAGGATATTTGAAAGGCAAAAGTCAGGGTACAAATCTGGCCTTTTGTGATCTTCTTGGAAAAATGCACTTCAGTCTCGCCATTGCTGTTTGAATACTAATACTAATGTAATACACTCTATTGTTACTGTTTAGTGTACACATGCACGCATCACTTCACCCAGAAGTTGTGAGTCAGATATCAAGTCTTCATACTGGGTTGTTCAGAAACTCATACTCACAGTGTGCACTCATATATAATGAGTTATATGTCATATATCAATCATTGCTGTACTGTTGACTATACTTAAGACACAACGTAGAGCGTAATCGACCGTTTTAACTATTTAATTTAAGTCTATGTAGAGATGGACAACTCTAATTCAACATATAGCGTAATTGGCGCATTTTGTGTAGAGCATAATTTGAGTTTTAATTCTAGGTAATGCATTGTAACCACTTGGAATTTATCGTAAAGCTTAATCGCTACTGTAGCGTAATACATAGCCGGATCTCAAAATTTAGCGTAGAGCGTTTTCGGGACCACCCCCATGCAGGCCCTCATACTTGCGTTTATTAGCTTATGACTACTCTCCAAGCAGAGGTAAGGGGAGGAAGACAAAAAAAAACCCCGTAAAAGTAGAAAGACGTATTAAAAACGCGAAAATACTGCCAAAATACCGAGCGACCCTACCTCTGCTTGGAGAGTAGCTTATGACTACATGCAAGAGAAGCACTGCCACACTCATTTCTGTGTTGAATATACATGACATAACTTTCTTGGGGAAGGTAATTAGTCTGGGTGTAAGATTTTGTTTTGGTTAGAATTCAAACAGGTGGTCTGAAAGCACAGCTTTAACAAACATGGCTGTGACGTATGAATGGTTAAGCAAACTAAAGCCTGTACCAGCCAGTTCCTTGCACGATGACGTGAACAGTAATGTGCCATGCTACAGAAACGTATTTATTTGATCCTTTGACTGTTAGTTAAACACAAACATAAGTGGGACTGTGAAGGGACTGCATGTCCGTCAGGGCATGACTGCTTGTATTGCTGCATCCTCTTTCCTTACACTTATTCACACATCACTATCCTTACACCTGTACTATTTGAGATCCATTTCATTTTAGCAGTTATGGGGTCAGGGGTGCCAGAGTATACAGTGCAATTTTACGGAATACAGTGCAATCGTATTAGTATACAGTGCAATTTTACGGAATACAGTGCAATCGTATTAGAATACAGTGCAATTGTACTAGTACTAGTATACAGTGCAATTTTACGGAATACAGTGCAATTTTACTACTGACGTTGTTATGACGTAACCTGGGTCCGGCTTTCCAGGGACGTCTTTCTGTATGTGTTTTTCGAGTGAATTTTGACCGTTTTCGTAGATATACCTTAAGTCAAATCACTACATACTACACACAGGGCATGTTACTACACAGGGATCATTTCGCATTCGCTCGAAGAAAGACAGAAATATGTGAGTCAGCGGCGTCTGCCATCTTGAAAATGAAAAAAAAAAGCAGGGAAAGCCAGGTCCAAGTCACGTGATTCAACGTGACAACGTCATTAGTAAAATTGCACTGTATTCCGTAAAATTGCAAGTTGTAACTTGTATATTAGTAAACTTGCACTGTATTCCGTAAAATTGCACTGTATACTCTGGCACCCCTGGGGGTCAGAATTCTGATACCAGGTCACATGCACCATTTCAGTCAAGAATGCTGTTCTCTGTGGTTCAAGCGCATTGTGTTTACCCCTTCATTACAACTGTCCTTAGCTATGCACTATTTATAGGCTACCCTTTCTTCAAGGATGCTTTCCAGAGTGAATTATTTATTAGGTTTAAAGTAGCGTGTGTAGTCAAATTTTCTTCAAATCTATCGTGGCATCTGGTTTTACACCAACAACATGCCAAACAAAAAACCAACAACATGCCAAAACAACAAAATATCGTAAATTGAAGTAGGGTCTATTTTGCTCTGATAGAAACTAATGTATGTTATTGGTAAATGCTACAACATGTTAGTCTCATTTACCACAGGCTTTAGTCATTCTGATAAACAATTTTTTACTGTGCTCATTCTTCCATGGAGCAAGTCACGACATTCAGGGAACAACAGGATATTTGAAAGGGGAAAGGCAGGGTTCAAATCCTGCCTTTTGTGATCTTCTTGGAAAAATGCACTTCAGTCACGCGAGATACTAAAATATATAATCACTGTTTAGTGTAAACCTGCACAATGTTTAGTGTACACATGCACACATCACTTTACCTAGAAGTTGTGAGTCAGATATCAAGTCTGACCATACTGGGTGGTTCAGAAACTCACACTCACACTGTGCACTGTCAATATACAAACTGCAGATCATTGCTGTACTACTAACTGTTGAGAATACTTACCTGGTATTAGTGGTAAGACATGACTTTGAGTTTTTTGCCTGTCATAATCTTAGTCATAGTCTTATTGTTGTTGTTTATTTTAGATATACTACAGTCGGTTGATGAAGTATATAGTCATACCGACTACAGGGCAACTGTAGCTGAGTAGGAGCATTTGATGAAACACACTATTCAGTTACATATTAAGTTGTGATGATATGATAATTTGCATGTAATCGTGAATCAGCAGTTTATGTTGTCTAACATCAAGTCACTAGCATGGGTCAAAAGGCAGGGTTTACTGTGCAGGTGAAATTGGGGCACTCAGAGTTTTTTCCTGATGTTGACCTGCCCTTTACTTATTTTAATGACCCGTGGATAAGTCAATAATGAACTGGGCAGCATTGAATTATCTTGTTTCAATGACATGCCTGAATGTTTGAGAACTTTCCATTGAAAATACCAGGCAGGGCTCGAAATTCAGTTTTGGGAATAGGTGCACCCAACCTAGAAAATTAGGTCAATAGGTGCACAAAAAATTTTTTGGGTGCACCATATACTACTAGAGGGATAAATCTCTCTGAGTACTCTAGCGGACAATTGAGGACAGCAGTTCTCTTTGGATTAGGCATTGTTCTCCCAAATGCTATCTCAGATCTCTTGTAGTCTGTTACAAGTCTCTTTTTTATGACTGTTTTGTTACGTAAATTTCTCATTGTTTGAAAAGTCTCTTTCAAAATCACCTGTGAAAACATGGCTGCTGTGATGTTGGTTTTATGTCATTGTCATTCTATTGTTAGGGTTAGACACTAATCTCCATTTAATTATCAATTGTTCAAAACAATTGATGATGTCTGAGGGGGTCCAACCTTAGGTGTCAAGAAGAAATCTACAGCAGTTCTCTTTGGAGTCTCTTCTTGTGGGGACAGAGCTCTCACAGCTCTCTTTTGGTCTTGTCCTTTGTGATGAGTCTGTTTTAGTACTCTCTTGTCCGCTAGAGTACTCAAAGAGATTTATCCCTCTACTATATATGAAACAAAACCTAATTGCAGGTCTTACTGCTCCTCTTCTGAGCTTGAATCTAAATTAAGAGCTAACTTCAAAATCTTAAAACAAGTACTACAAGTACAACAAAGATTTTATTATTTTTTTGTGATACTTAGAGACCAAAAATATCTGGTATACTATTATACATTTCTAACGTTAAAAATTCCTACAAAAATATTTGGGTGCACCAATGCACCCACAGAAAAAAAATTAGGTGCACAGCTCCAATTTTGGGTGCACTAAGGTACACATGCACCCAGTATTTCGAGCCCTGCCAGGTGAGCATCTAAACTTCCCTGACCCAGAAAATCTTTGATCTTTATCTGTAGTCACTGTAGTATCATGTAACCAGTAAACTACTGAATGTATAGCTCAACTACAAATTGTACAATGTACATTCTTGAAATAGGAAAATGCAACAAAATAAAAATTGTATCTCTTATAGCTAGTACTGGGTATGAATTCATGATTAATATTGATCATAGACTGTCTATGCAAGAAAAAATGAAAAAGAGCGATTTGAATAGGAATTTAAGAGGGGTATCAACTTGTTTCTGGATGCAACATTCTACTTTTCTAGCACATTGCTTTCTGACTTACATCTAGATCTACCTGTACATGTACATGTAGGTGTGTACATTTGGCTAGTCGTGGTCAGATTTTTTGATTGGACTACCAACATGAAGATCTCAATTTCATTTAAGTCTTCTGTAACAGTGGGGGGTTTATAGGTGCTACCAACTGATCCGGCCGAGGGGTCTAGACCTTTTTGGCCGAGCGGTTAGAGTGTTTGACTGGGGCCTGGAAGGTTGTGGGTTCGAACCCCGGCCTGGGACCAGTAGGGTTTTTACCAGTTTCTACTTGCCCCTCCTGTTTCTTACACCGGCCCTGGGAGATCTGGCAAAGAGCGCCGCTCCAGGGATGTTGAATTCGGAAGATTCGAGGACAAATCTTGAAAAGAAAAGGGGGAGTAGTGTAACAGTGGGGGGTTTATAGGCGCTACCAACTGACCTGGCCGATGGGTCTAGACCATTTCGGTCGAGCGGTTAGAGCGTCTGGTTATGAAGCTCTGGTGCCCGGGAGGTTGTGGGTTCCAACCCCGGCCCGGGACCAGAAGGGTTTTTACTGGCTCCTCCTGTGTAGAAAATTGATGAAAAACCTAATACTGGTCTGACGAGGCCGTTATTTTGCCTAATAGTCCCTACGTCATGAGCTGCAGAAATCTGTAACTTGCCAGTCAGGTTTGTGAAGGACACGTGCGTACAGCCCCCAGGTATCTTTTGTTATTCATGCATCTATGGAATTACATTGAAAGGTTAAAAATGGAGGTCTGCACTGGATTGAAACATGAGTCTCTTACAGGCAAATACTTAAAGGTAAATAATGCTGTATGAATATAGTTTCTTACATATTGAAAATAAGTTAAAGTGACATGTTTTCAGGTACATTATATTAGCTACTTTTCATGGGTGCACTGCAGTTGTACATTGTGTGGGGACATTTTTGAGTGAGGGTGTGGCCTAACTGGCTTATGTTTACAACATTCCAGATATGGTGTCACATTTTTTAACACAATCTTAGATATACAGTATACTTGGAGTATACAGTATACGTGGAATGATTTCTAGACATCCAGATCTTACATGTAGTTGCCTCAAGTAACTGGAAAAAGTAGAGAGGAGAATGTATTAAATTAAGAATCATAATTGTGTTTTGGAATTGCACCAAGCTACTTTGAGAGTACATGTAGTTGTATTTATCAGCTAGTTGTATTGTTATGACACAACAAGGTCTTTTGGTAATTTTGGCTAGGTCTTTTGGAGCTTGATAGGTGAGTGCATAGTAATTATGTAGAATTACATTATACATGTACATCAACTCGCTGGTGATAAATTATTAATTGTTTAGATATGACGAGTGTCATTACTACATGTACTCACATGTATTAAGCCTTCCCATGTCTTTTAAATACTAACAGGACTTAGAGTTTCAATTTCCTTTTTATGAGGCACAAAAGACTGATTTGCAAGACTTACCGAGTGCACAGAAGAACGTGGAATATGAGATTGTGTATGTCTGTGTGTTTGTGTGTATGTCTGTGTGTGTGTTTGTGTGTGTGCATGTGTGTGTGTGCGTGTATGTCTGTGTCTGTGTTTGTCTGTGTTTGTGTGTGTGTGTTTCTGTTTCTGTGTTTGTGTGTGTGTGTGTGTGTTTGTGTGTGTGTGTGAGTGTGTAACAGTGTCTGTGTGTTTGTGTGTGTATGTGTGTGTGTATGTATGAGATTCCCCATATATGCAAATCAGTCACTGTTTTCCAAAGTCACTGCTTTTATTTTTTTTCAGAAATATAGATGCCAGTTTGCTGATTGCCTTGTTTGTTACATGTTGTTCCAGATGTGGGGTGTTATTTTGTCACTGTTGGCCCTCACACCAGTCGGGTTAGCGTACCCATCAGGTGCTCCAGCACAGGCATGTCTGGACATGACCCCCCAACACGGGCCGTCTGAGCAGTCCAGCACGCCTCCGTATGAACTAGTGGTCAGCAATACTACATACGCAGGCGGCGACGAAATTCAAGGTAAGAGATTAAACAGGAAAATCACTGTTTCATGGAAAGATTCTTTTTGGTTCACAGCTTTGAATTAAAAAAATGTAATTTTTTTGTAGATATTTAAACACTCATAATGCAATCTTTTATTACAAAATGTAGTTGTTATCAAAACTTGTACAGTCAAAATAATATCATTTCCGTACCTTTGAAATCAGATCTAAGTTACATGTGCACTTGTACCTACATGTAATACAGATGATTTATACTCAAAACTCACCATAAAACTTTAGTCATGTTTACATGTTAAAGTATGTCTGGAAAAGTTGTGCTAAATACACATTATGATATGCATTATAGTATGTACATTGTGTCTTTTGTAAGAAGTTCATTGATATTAACTCTAACTTTATCTCTGAATCAGTGACATTAAGTCGGACTGGTAACTCTGCGACATTCCGAGGGTTCTTTATCCAAGCCAGAACTGTTGGATCAACAGATGCACAAGGAAGGTTCACTAGCCTTGACTCTGGCACCACCAAAACTGTCAACTGTGGCTCTGAGGCAAACTCGGAGGTTAGTCAACGTTCTTTCAGCTTCAGGTCTAGTAAATGCTGTTATTCTTATATTTTAGGGAATATTATTGGATTTAGAAAATTTGACTCATATTCTTTTAACAAAAAATGTAGCCAAACAATCATGCAGCCACTGTAGTTATTAGGGCTTTTTGTAACCTCAGGTACAGGTACAGGTACAGAGGTTTAGGTCCAGGTCCGGACCTGTACCTGTACCTGAAAATTCACGCGCGTCACATGTTCTTCAGAAATTCCTCAATAATAACAGAAACATGAATAAAGTCTTGACAATTTGTCCTGTATCTTTCAAAGAACATCTGTAACAAGAGTTCCACCAAATGATGTTAACCCTTGCGGTTGAAGAATCATACAATTTTAATCATTGATTTTGAAAATAAGAGCCTCATTAGCATTGATTATATCAGTTGATCATATTTTCCACCCAATGACAACCTTATCTTCACAAAAAGGCTATTATATAATTTATAGCACTTTCTCATAAATTATGCAAATGAGGTCATGATTTGAATTAATTATGTTTATTGATGTTCGCCTTCACTTAACTTCCAAATGTGGCAAGTATGAAATTCCCAGAAGTTACAACTATGAAATTATAAAATATTCCCATTAATTATGCAAATTAGGTCTTCATTTGGATAATCCATATCCTCAGATGTTTTTTTCGTTCTCTATTACATGTCACAAGTGTTTCATAGTCCTATTATCGAACGAAGCAGATTTATAGAATTTCCTCATTAATTATGCAAATTAGCTCCTGATTTGCATAATTATCATTTGATTGTGTCAAGCATCACTTCAGCTACCTACATACCAAAAATCATGACAATCCGTCCACCGGTTCTTGAGTTATCATCCTTCGAAAATTTTTCAACAAATGCTCCTGCAGTTCCAGAACAAGGCGCTAGGGGGGGGCCAAACTTATGTCACTTCTTCCCTACCCCAAGAGCTATCTACCGACCAAAATTCGTGACCCTGACATGTCCAGATTGCGAGATATCAAAACCGGAAGTTCTGCTGCAGTACCAACAAAAGCCGCCAGGGGGCCCAAAATCTAATCATTTCTAGGTCTTATCGAGACCTACCCACCTACCAAGTTTCATGACAATGCATACTAAGCTTCTTGAGTTATGCTGTTCACAGACAGACAGACAGACGGACAAACGCTACTGAAAACATAACCTTCTTGGCGAAGGTAATAATATAACAAAAAATTGGATGACATAACTAGGTTTCCTATCTCACTTCTCACTAGTTCTCAGTCACCCTCTTAATGACACACACTTTTTTTTTCTAATCAGTGCAAAGTGAACTGTATATTGATGATTTTCAGTTCAAAACACTTACTCAACTTGGGACAAAACGTCATTAAGTTGTGTAAATCTCTTTATTTTAATGCTGGATGTTCATTTTCCTGGCAGGCCTTCTTGTGTGTTGTGATCAAGTATGAATTTTTACCGGGGGAGGAGACATCCTTCCGCGGAACGGTTTTGTGAGAGATTTAGATTTTCATGTTCGCAGCTGTTTCTCGCGTTTGGGTGGACGGATTCTTTTGAGACTCGGTATATGTTTTGCTATTGGGCTGCAGATGATGCACGTTCTTTTGTTTTTATTACCTTCGCCAAGAAGGTTATGTTTTCAGAGGCGTTCGTGTATGTGTGTGTGTGTGTGTGTGTGTGTCTGTCTGTAAACACGATAACTTGAGAAAGCTTAAATGGACTGACTTGATATTTGGTAGTTGGGTAGGTCTTGATGAGACCTCAAAATGATTAGATTTTGGGCCCCCTGGCGGCTTGTCATGGTACTGCAGCAGAACTTCCGGTTTTGATATCTCATGATACAGACAAGCTAGGGTAACCAAATTTGGATGGTAGATAGCTCTTGTGCTGGGGATAAAGTGACATGAGTTTGAGCCCCCTAGTTGCTTGCTCTAGAACTGCAGGGGGGGTTAAAGGACAAATGTTTAAAAGAGGATAACTCAAGAACCAATTGATGGATCATCGTGAATTTTGGTATGTAGGTAGCTTAAGTGATGCTTGACATAATGACATTACAATTATGCAAATATGAATGTAATTTGCATAATTAATGAGGAAATTCTCTAAATCAGCTGCATTCCATTATTGGAAGTCCAAGCTTGTAACATATGTTATTAAGAACGAGAGAAACACAGGCAGATATTGATTATGCAAATGAAGACTTAATTTGCATAATTAATGAGAAAATGTTATAATTGCATGGTGGTAACTGCCTGGAATTTCATACTTGGGGTGTTTGAAAGTTAAGTGAAGGTGAACATAATTAAACATAACTTACTCAAATATGGACCACATTTGCATAATTTATGAGGAAATGCTATGATGGCATTCTTTGTTAAGATAAGACTGTCTTTTGGTGTAGAATATGATCAACAGATATAATTCATGCAATTGAGGATCCTATTTGCATAATCAGGGGGATTAATATATAATTTCTTATTCATAAAGGCTAACTTCATTTGGCGAAGGTATGAGATCGTGGAACTCTAGTTGTATATGTGTTTTTGGGCGTGAAAATGGTGCCTTCTGGTGGCCCCAGAACACCCCTTTGAGCGTGAAAGTGGTCGCGACCGTTGACCTTTGGCGTGTTTAAGCTATTCTCGGTCTGGTCCACGTATATGACCCCTCACACAGAGGGGTGTCCGGTCTCGATAAATTCTTTGTTTAAAACCCTATATAAAAATACAATACAATAAAAAGCCCGGAGGTATAAAATCTCAGATTTTACTTGTTTGTTCTGGTTCCAAAAACCGGTCCACCGACATTTTGTTTTTTTCGGACCGGACCGATACTATTTTTACGGTCTGGTACGCAGCCCTAGTAGTTATGCATTGTGCATCTGCATCAGTTAATGACAGACTGTGAGCTTAATATGAGATTCTGGTTATTTGTGCAACATAACATAATATTGTAGTCAGGGGAAAGAACAGTGCTTAATTGTAGATCCATTATGTTTAACAGACTCACTTGAAGTTGTAAACAACAACACAAGTACAAATCAAAAGTATGGAGCTACTGGTACAGGCCCTAATCAGTTATTATACATGTAGCTTCTCACAAATTTATGAGAAAATTTTATAATTATGTAATGATAACTGTCTGGAATATCATACTTGTGGTATTTTAAAGTCAAGTGAAGGTGCATTAAACATAATGTATTCAAATCATGACCTCATTTGCATAATTTATGAGGAAATGCTAGAATGGCATTGTTTGTTAATAGGAGACTGTATTTTGGTTGAGAATATGATAAATTGATATACTGTAAGTCTCTTTAGATTCGCGGGGCCTAAAGTTCGCGGTTTTGGGAAAATGGACAATCCGCGGTATTTTTAGATTCGCGATTCCCCCTTGGCTATTCGACGAAGAACTTGTAAAGTGTATAGCAAAATATAAAATAATAAAAGTTCGTGTCCCTGCATTTATCTCCTAAAATGCGGCGCAAAAATTTGTTTCGTGCATGTTCTGTAGGTATGCAAATCTTGCATCACGTGTCCGCGCTTCGCGTCTCTGATTGGTTGTTGCGTCAGTGCCGGCGGTAAGGATCGATCTGACGCGCGTGTAAACAATTTTCTTCGTTCGGAAATAAGCGCTAAAACGTTATTTTCCATGACTACACATCGATACTAGAGAAGAAGTGCATAATCAAAAGAATCTTTTGGGAAAATATATATTCCTAAGCAAATTTATGCCGTCTTCGGCGAGATTTTGTCGTTCAAACCGAACCCGGAAGCATGCAAAGGTCGCCTTCGGTTCCTTGTAGACCCACGCTAGCGTTTCTATCGAGCAAAACAAGAAAAAAAGAACTCCCGCAAAAGAGAACCAAATAGCATTTCCCAGATACCAGCAGTTATATTTTTCATCAAATTATTTGTACATTTGCCCGATGTGCCCGCAATTTTCAAGCACCCGCGCGCGCATGGCCGGCGCTCTGCACGCAAAGATTTTTGTCCGGCGGTAAGTTAACGTTACCAGTATGCGGTTGACGCGGCCAGTGCTAGTGCCGCAGTATCGCGATAATTTCGGTGTCAGGTAATGTTATTTTGATATCAGTATAACTTAAATAATTTTGATACTCAACAAACTGTACGTACATTTGCTAAGAATAACGTTGATTTGGAGAGATTTGTGAATCGCATGTGTTATCAGTCGTGTTAAATCGGTTAAACTTGAGGTCCGTCATGAATGCATGTGGGGGGGGGGCATATTTACGCAAAACATATTCGCGGGGAAATAGATTCGCGGTACAAAGGTCCCTGCGAATTCCGCGAATCTAAATATACCGCGGAAATTTGTAGACTTACAGTAATTCATGAAAATAAGGATCCTATTTGCACAATCAGGGGGAATAATCTACAAATTGTTAGTCATAAAGATTAACATCATCTGGCGAAGGTATGAGATCAGGGAACTCTAGTAACAATAACAAATGGAAGTTGTTCAGCTTGGTTCCATTGCCAGTTCAGCCTGCCAGTCTGAATACTGGACTTGTTTTCCTATTAGTATTACCACGTGATGCAGGGCATCAAAGGCTGGTGTGTTCTAGCATAATGACATTATTTACCAGTCATGTTAAAATACCAAGCTACCTCGCAAGGAAAGATACTATAATTTGCAAGCATTGATTAGGCCAAAAGTAATCATTACCTTTCCTATAATATTAAATGGCTATATATGCATACTACTGTGGTACTAAGCTTGAATCATGCAATGTTGTGTTGGTTTCACAGAATGGAGTGACTCATACAGGGCGGACAGACAAGTCAAGTGTGACTGTTACATGGACTGCACCTGCCAACCGTGTGGGACACATACAGTTCAGGTATTACAAATGTTTTGTCTCTCTTGGCTTGCACAGGAAAGTTTTGGTAATATTTGCTGTGGCATTTAGATGTAGATGCGCCAATGTTACTCACAACCTCTGTGAAAAATGAATAATAAAAAAAAAATTATGTGCTGGTTGGCAAAACCCCATTTGTGACGACATCCAAAGCGTCTCAGATAATTGCCTTGGACGAATACAGTTAGGTTTTATGTAGGCTTTTGATGGCATGCATTCAAGATGATCTGGGTGGCTTGAACTGTGAAACAATCAAAAGTTGACAATGTTTTTCTGGATTAACCATCATGTTAAAACATGCTTGCAGTCATTTGCCAATTGATTTTGAGTGCAATTTAATCAGGCTGTAGTGTTTGGGATTAAGACAAGATTTTTTTCCTACAAAATGTATTAGTAAGAATGATCTAAGTTTGCTCGGTGAAATCCAGTAATGACTTTGACATTGACTATTGTACAGTCATGTACATGTACATGGCGTCGGGTGGTGTAGTGGTAGATCATTCGACTGTGAACCGGGACAGTCGTACCCGGGACATGTCTGAACATGCGCCCGACGCTGTGTCCTTGGGAAAGGCACTTTACACGACTTTCCTCACTCCACCCAGGTGTGAATGGGTACCTAACTTCGGTTGGGGAAAGCCGTATTGAGGTCACCTTGTGGCGCCGAATGGCTCTGCACAGACCCTTGCGGCAGTTCCACATAAATGTGGAACAAATAATGTATCATGTGCATTATGTGTATTATTATGTGTATTATTACCATTTGTATTCTGATTGTAAACCCTGCATCAATTCAGCAATATAAGGCTGCGATTGCACGGGTGATGTTTGGCCAATAAACCATTTATTATTTTTATTATGTAGGGCCACAGTTGTAGAGACAGAGCAGGTTTTCTGGGTGAGTGGGGTGAGGTCTGACTATGTACAGGACCCTACAGCTGGCCCTCTACCCACACCAGCAACTAGTGGTGGCCAGGATATTGGGGTAACTACATCTTTCTCATGTCATAATAATAATCTATATTCATCCATACAATGCAAAATTACATTTTATGAGTTTTGTTATAATTACACGTGCCTGTAACTTTATATCTAAGTGTTCTGACATCAATGTTTGCATGATAATGTTTCAATAAAAGAGGTACATTTCTGATTCTGATGATGAATAAGTTCACTGGATGATGAAACAGAAAGAGTACAATAAAATCTACTTGCTCACTGATATGATCCTAGATCATATGAATTTGGTCACTCACTAGATTATAACATGTTTTACTCCACATAGTAACCAAAGATGAGTGGATGATGATGATACTACAACGTCTACTCTCCATGCATTTTATTCTGTGCATTTTTAAATTACCGTTTGCCAACTGATCATGAATATGATACTGTTTTTAAATTAATACTCAAGTTTGCATGAGTTGTGACATTTTATAAAGTCTCATCAGCTACATTTATAACCATAATCATCATCATCAGTCGGCTGCGGTGCAGGTGACTGCAAGTCAAGTCAGGACAACGACAACAGCTTTTAGCTGCTCTGCATCTCCACGCGAACAGTCCGTGTTTTTATCGGAAAATGTATGTACAGAATGTCTGTTTCTGTGGTGCGAAAGGAGAACAGGTGAATCGGGGATTCCCCGGGTGGAAAGAGTTACAAATTTTAGAGCCCTCCACTGCCCCTTGTCGCGAGCAAGGCTGGCGATCTGCTTAACCATTATGGCATATTAGATTATTAGGCCACGCCAATTTAATTTGTTGTTTCTTGGATTCGCCCTGTCCATTTTTCCTGATTTGCAAAAAAAAAAATATTTAGGTTCTAAATCAACTGCAAAATGCACAATAAAAGACATATTTTGGCTCAACCAGTAACTGTTGAAGAAAGTCCTCTTCTTCCTAGTTGTTAAAGTTTTTCAATGTAACAATGCAACTTTGTTTCATTTAAAGGGTCATATTGTAACATTTCCGGCTATCATGGGCTACCTTGGCCTGTTTTTTTAATTTTTATTTTGCCCTGTCGCTTCATATTTTTGCTAAAAAAAATCCGAGAAACAACAAATTAAATTGGCATGGCCTTAGGGTGAGAAGGTGAGAAGATAATTAGGGTTAAATACATAGTTTATTATTGTACACAAAATTAGCTTCAGTTTGACATTGTTCTCCCTACATTAGGTGAGTTCCAGTGGTTGTGGCTCCACCAAAGGTTGTTACCAGTCCCCCACTGCGTGTGCCCCACCAGCATGTGACTACTTCTCCTCATGGCAGACCAGTGGCAACAACGTTCTGTTTGAAGTCAGCGGGCGGTCACCAGGATACGTGGCTGTGGGCATCTCAGAGGACGAAACAATGGTACAGTTTATCATATATAATTTCTATCATACATTATATATTGTTGGCACACAAAACCAACATGAAACCCGACCCTATCACATTAACACTTACTGTGACACGTTAACGTTAGAGCTAAAGTCCAGAAAGAAAAACTATCTATGCTTAGCACTCAATGATATGAAAAAACATGGGACACACACACACACCAAGAGGTAGACTAGCTCCCTACTGTAGTGGCCTGTGTGGCCCATTAGGGGTACAGAAGTGGAGAAGGACACATGTACAGGCCCCGTGCACTGAAAGGTGTGGGAAGGATTTTTAACGAATGCAATGTCATGTGCATGTATAAACACCATAATGAACATGAATGGAATGTTGTTTATGAATTGCAGGGGTCAGATGACATCTATGAGTGTGTGTATAACTCGGACTCAGGCCGTACCACTGTCTTCTCCTCCTGGAGCACTGGAAGGTCAAGGCCAGAGAGGGACACCACCCAGGTATGTAGGTTTTACCTCCATGAAAAATGGAGGTATTGTTTTTGGCGCGACTGTGTTTGTTTCCGCACATTTGTGGTCAGCATAACTTCATAACGCCTTTATGGATCGTGATGACATTTGGTATGCTGGTAGGTCAAAGGTCAAGGTCAAATATGGGCCTCTTGGTGGCTGACCTTGGTACTGCAGCAGAACTTCTTTTTGCAAGGCAGGGAAAACAGATGTGCGGGTTATGCGACAAAACACCAGCACACGTGTGGAGGCAGTGCGCCAGATTAATGAGGTTCTCCCTCTGGAAAGTTATTCATAGAATTGAACCAATGATTGTCAGTAAGTACTACATTTGTACATGCTCAGATTCTACATTTTTCAAGCCATGCTGTTCTTTCCTGTTGACCCAGGGAGGAATCTCAGCGATTGATGGGTCGTATGTGGATGGCGTCGTGTCGTGTAAGTTCACCAGATCCATCAACGACGCGGCGGCCGGCAGGAAGAAGAGACAAGCAAAGGTCAACAACGGGAAGTTTTACAACCTGAACAACGATTTCTTCCTGCTGATGTCAAAGGGGTCTACGGCTGGAGGTATGGTTAGAACTTTGTCTGTCAACAAACCTGTCAAGTAGATTATACAATCATTATGTAGGTACTGTACTGTAACTGTTACATTAAGGTTTCCTCACTGGCTAATTTGGCATTTTAAACTTTCCATCCCTTTGTCACAAAGAAATTTAGAAAGAACTGTAGTTGTACTGAATATTGATACCTGGGTACAAAAGGGTTATGAATATGATTTTATGGACCATATAGATGACGTTGTCATATTTTATTGCCCCAAATATACATGTAATTATCTTTAAAGCTCTAATACAGCACTTTGGTACATTGTATAAATAACTGCAACAAGAAGCCATAGGTAACAATCCTCCGTGAAGTTTTATATATTTCAACAAAAACAATCCCAAGCGTCAACGCCAGACCTACTGTGCAGACATTATAATCAAGCAACGGTTAATACAATGAGGGCGTGTCACAACCATAAAACATAAAAAGACCTAAATCCATTACATGCTCCCAGGGCGTGTAAAGATACTGTGCTTCAAGTTCGAAGTTCATTTTAATTACACACACACAATCATTGCATTCACATAAAGATCGGACTATCATGGTCGTGTCACTATTAACGAAGACAGCCCCACCGTCTTACCGTGCCTGTTACTTATTAAGCGAGACTGGAACAGGCCAAATTCCAGCAACAGTTGCGGCCAGCACCGTGAGTGTTACTGCCGCCGGTCAGATACCCGGGATATCTGCTTAGAGAACCTCTGCTACCAGACAACTGCCTAAACCTACGCAGACGGCGTATAAAATTGCGTGCCGATTACACAAAGAGAACCCACTGTTTTGACTGCGAAAACGAAAAATCAGCTCTTCACAACACTCCGTCCGGAGGTCCTGACCTCCTTCACGGAGTAATAAAAGTATGATCTTCATGTGCATATAGGTCAAAGCTACAAATGTACGTTTGCAAAAATTGATATCTACTAATTACCTGTAGTTATTAGAGAATAACCTACAACATGTAATAGCCTAATTGAAATCTAGTTATTCTCTCATAACTATACGTAATTAGTAGATATCGATTTGTGCAAACGTACGTTTGTAGCTTTGACCATTTAACATGTATACAAAAGTCATTCCTAGCTAGAAGCAAATGAAAGTATGCAAACAAAGATAGGCATGGATCAATGTTTCCAAAGCAAGATCCGACCATCCATTGTCTGCATGTTCCTTCTGGTCTCAGGCAAAAAGTGGTAAAAAGACAAACATATGCCAATGTGCATGTACATGATAACCATTGCCAAAAAGCAGTTACTCAAGTAACTGGATATGATTTTGGAAACGGTCAGACGTTTCAGGTAGCATCCACTCGCTTTCGTCAGTGACACTAAGAGATAGCACTAAGAGACCAGAGGAGAAATGCAGGTTCGTCATGTACATGGTAAAGGGACATATACGTAAAAGTTCTATGGCTATCTACATGTTTACTTTCTGTTGCACTGATATTTTCTTTTAGTAACTGCTTTTTGGCGTACCTTATTACCGGGATGTCTAACCTTCACCGACATATGGTAATAATTGAATAGTTTGATGTACTCTTTTTATTTCTCACAAATATCATGATACTATCAATAAAATTTATTATATATCAAAGTTTTGTTGTGATGCAGACTAATTAAATGTGTTAATTCTATAATTTCAGATGCTCTGACTTACCACACTGCCAACCGTGTACTTTCATCCAGCAAGGTTGACTTCCAAAGTACCACCCAAGTGACTGGTGCAGGGAGCCCTGACATTGTCAAAGCACATGGTAAAGGGACTATGGCTATCTACGTGTTTGTTTTTATGGGTTCACCACACCACGAAGTGGTGTGGTGAAACCATATTGCTTTTTCTGATGTTTCTTCTTCTCCTCCTTCTCCTCCTGCCATTTTTTAAATGGATTCAGCTTCTTCATTTTAGGGCCTAAGGTCCTGAAATTTGGTATGGAGGTACAGTGGGCACATACCCCTAGGCGTTTTTTAAATTATTGTGATACAGGCTTTTAGAATGGTTTTATTTGAGTTTTTTTGGCTGTGTTATAGCAAATGTATTACTGTGTTAGTTTGCCTTGTTTACCACGTTTGGGCATGAGTCATGACAATGGAATGCAGGGCATCAACCAATAGGCATGCAGCTTTCCTCTATACTTCTTGCTGATTGGCTGTTGGGATTTAACTTGATTAACACCTGCACAGAAGCATTTCCATACTGACAGTATGTCTGTATTCAAGTGTTTTGGTACTGGTATTTCAAGCTTTCCTGCTCCAGCATTGGAATGCCGGGCATGGACGTTTTTTTTTTATTTTGAAAATCAACAGTTTGCATTATGCAATTAAAAATCCTAACCAATAAAGTAGGGAATAGCTATCCAACTGTTGTTTTAGTTGTATTTTACTTCATATTATAGTTATATCAATGTAAATCATTGTTTTCCCTTGTGTTTCTCATTCTTTCCCTGCCATGTGGTAAAATGTGGTGAACCCATCGCTGTATTTGCTCCAAAGCAAATATTGGCCTTTCTAGTTTTGTTTGTTTTTTATTTCATTTGAAATAAGAAACTTACACATACATACAGAAATGAGTATACTTATTATACATCCATGTACATGTGTACATGTACATGTAATATCAAGCTTGCATGTACATGTACTCTGTAGTAACTAAGACCTTCATTGTATCATCATGGAAATTTATGAAATAGATGTCATGAACATGTTTAACTGTTTCTCTTCACTTGTATGTGTAAATGCTTAGCCCTGTAATTAACAGAGACTTGGTACCCAAATGGCTAATACAGTAGATTGTGCTAGTACATGTAAGGGTAGAGGTTAGTCTGAGCAGGTATGATGTTGTAGACAAACCCTGTATCACAAACATGATCTTTTCCCACATTTTCCATTGTCCAAAAAAGCGAAAAGAAGTTGACCACTCTGTATTAGCTCAGTGACTAGAACACTTTGTATTAGCCTAGCTAGTATAGTACTCTAAGACTTGTATGTTCCTTATGTATGTTTGTCTAAGTCAAGTAGTGCATCTATTGCCTCCACTTTTCTATATATGCTTGTTATGTGTCTGTTAAGTCTTGACCTGTACCTAGCCCGTCGTGGCATGAATGTACAATAAAGGTATTTCATTGATTGATTGATGTTTTACAGGTTCCCTGATGATGATTGCCTGGATCTGTACCGCCAGTGTCGGTGTCCTCATGGCACGTTTCTTCAAACACATCTGGCCTGACAGTCAGCTCTGCAAGGAGAAAGTCTGGTTTGCTGTAAGAGACAGTTTGTATTTCATTTCAGTCTTTAAAAAAAAAAATTTACGGCTCTCAGTGGTCAATATGAGATGTTGTCACATCTGCGCACCAAATCCGTAAGGTGTTTTTGGCACCCAGACAGACAGATTAGCCTAAGAGGCTCGGTGGGCGTCACTCCACCGTATAGGTGGGGAAGTCGTGTAAAGTGCCTTTCCCAATGGCACAAGGTCGGGCCGCAGTGAGTATCGAACCCGGGACCTCTTGGTTCCGAGTCCAACGCTCTAACCGTTGCGCCACGGACGCCACTATTTCATTTCTTTAGTCCTCATTTGATTTGCGTTCTGTCTACACTAGCTTGTAGGTTGGTCTAGTAAGGCTTCAAGCTAAGTAGTACATTCTATTTTGTGAAGCAGACAATTGACTTTATTCTATGTTTCCTGTGTACAGATCCACCGTGCGATGATGATCAGCACTGTTCTTCTCACCATCATAGCCTTCATCCTCATCATGACTTACAACAACTGGCTCTGGGCTTTTGTAAGGCTGACTTGTTTTTATTCTAGGACTTCTTTGTTTGTAGGGTAGTAAAGTTCATACAGCATACAATAACTGTATCTTATAATATTTATTGTATACTTTTGGTAAGAATTTAGGTCTTGAATTGGAAATGGTTTGCAGGTTTTAGACATGAATGTTCTACTTGTAAAGAGTGAAACAAAGCACGAAGATAGTTGTCACAGATCTAGATTATATTTTACAATGTATTCAAAATAATAGTATTTTATTATTGTCTTGACAATGACTGCTTAGTACAAAATGTACATATTGAACATGTCCTAATAGAATCATGAAAGTTCAACTTGGTAGTTACATGATTGTTTAAAGTTAAAAACTTTTGTTCCAACACAAGAAATTCTCTCACCTAGAGCTTTCGACCAGTCACTCTGGTCTTCCTCAGTAGACTGACCCAGTGAAGCTTGTCACGTGGCTTCTTTGGATTGGGATGATTATGGTGATTTGATCAAGTTTTTTCCATCCCTAACAGCATGCTGGTGCTCATGCCATTGTGGGAATCATTGTGGTGATCCTGGCCCTGATCAACCCTCTCATGGCCCTGGCACGACCACACCCTGACCAACCCAAGTAAGACACACTTTGTCTGGAGTAACACTAGCCTTCTTATGTGTGTACATTCCATTCCAGAACAGTGCTAATTAAGATGGCAGAACACAGTTTTCGCCCTATGGGGATTCCGGGCCTATAGTTAAGCACCCCGAGGTGACTCACTTCGACGCGGTAAAAATTATGGTAGGGTGCACTAGAGAATCACGGCCAACTAATATGTTGAAATATACGGTATATTCTACAAAATAACTGAAAACCAAAAAACGTTATGGTTTATTTTTTAACATAATAACGACCACTTTGATTTGGCCCTCTACCGGGGTCAACAGAACTGCAGCCGGCTCACCCTGGAACGTGGTTGCGTAATGCCACACATTTATACACGAACAGGGAAATCTTCACAATCCAAATCATACTGTGTACAAGCCGATACCTTTCTATACCACAGCACAGTTTACTCATGGCTACCTCTCACATAAGTTGCACTAGCCAGGATGCAAGAGGTTTGTCTGCAGTACTTTCTATACCCGCGTCATAGACCCCGGGGTCGCCCATTAATACTGTGTTCTGTGGCCTTAATCATTAACTGATCATTGAAAGGGCCTCACTGCCCTGCAGTTGCCTGATGATAACATTAGGAGATGCCCCAACTAGTACAACAGTAACTAGTATTTAGTTCTAGATGGGATCACCTAGAAGATTGTCACAAACACTTTGTAGATTTGTAGGTTTTTCAATGACATCTTTTTCATTTGGTAACTCTGAAATTTTTCCTCATTTCCGCTACCTTTTGCAGGCGCTTCATCTTCAACTGGGCCCACTGGGCTGTTGGTACAGCTGCCCGAATCCTGGGTGGTAAGTCATCATTTTTTACTGAAGGCAAATGACATTGTACAACATGTACATGTATGTATACAATCATGCATTCATCCAGATCAGCTTCAGGCTAGGCAGGCAAGTGGATTATGACAAATAGGTTTCCTAATCATATACTTTTCCTAATCATGCACATACATTGGTATGTTTCTTGTGATGTTTGAAATTTGTGTATAATGCTAATCTCAAATGTTCAAACCATTGGAAGATTAGCATTATAATAGGGAGGCTCTTTATTGTGCTTGAAGTGTCATAATGATAATGGCTATTGTACTACATAATACAATCTGGGGTATCTGACTGTGAACATGCTTGTTGTTTAGTGGTGGTCATATTCTTGAAGATTTACCTGCCTGACTGTACGTCCCCCCTGGGGAATGTGTTTCACTGACTGACTGACTGACTGACTGACTCACTCACTCACTCACTCACTCACTCACTGACTGACTCACTGACTGACTGACTGACTGACTGACTGACTCACTCACTCACTGACTCACTGACTCACTCACTCACACACTCACTCACTCCCATTGCGACAGGCCTTAGGGACAGTTAGCCTGGTAATCTGGTCAGCTGGCTATGACATCTATGTGTTTATTATCAAGATGTATCTGAATGTGTTTATTGTTTTCCAGTGGTGGCCATATTCCTGGGGATGGACCTGGCCGCGCTGGACCTGCCTCCTGCTGCCACCTTCATCATGGTGGGCTGGGTCATCTGGCACGCCCTGACCGAGGTCATCCTGGAGGTCCACAACTGTTCCACCAGCTCCAAATGTCAGTACTGCTTCTTATAACATCTCTTCTGCTGTGGGCAGTTTGTCTGTGCTCTTAGTTTGTGTTTGTGTGTGTGTATGTGTGTGTGCGTGTGTGTGTGTCTGTGTGTGTGTGTGTGTGTGTGTGTGTGTGTATGTATGTACAATGTGCATTTGCATGTACTTACTGTAGTGTTTTTGTGTGTTTATATTATAATACATGTATGACTGTGTAGTGTAGTGTGTTTGTAACACTGTGTTTGCTTGTATGTGTGTTTGTGTGTGTGTTTGTGTGTGCAGTTGTTTTCAGTGTTTTCCTGTTGTTGTTTACTGCAGCTGGCCGTGCTGAGGAGATGGAGATGGATAATGCAGCTGCAGCAGACACAAAGTCCAAGCCTTTACGAGGAGGAAGCTACACTGGGGTACGTCACATCCACTGGCACATTGTTATGATTATATTAATCCAAATGAGACAATTGCAACTAGAAAGGCCGACATTTGCTTTGGAGCAAATTCAGCATGACTTCACCACATTTCAACACATGGAAGGGAAAGAAGGAGAAATACAAGGGAAAACAATTCTTTACATTGATAAAATATATTAAATATAGTACGAAGTGACAACAGTTGGATACAGCTATCACTTACATTATTGGTTAGGATTTTTAATTTCATAATGCAAACTGTTGATTTTCAAGATAACAAGAAGCATTTATGCCCCGCATTCCCATGCTGGAGCAGGAAAGCTTGACATACCTACCAAAACACTTGAATAAAGTTCATACTGTCAGTATGGCATGGCTTTGTACTGGTGTTAAATGAGTTAACCCAATCAGATCCAAACAGCCAATCAACAAGGAGAATAGAGGAAAGCTGCATGCCTATTGGTTGCCTGCTCTACATGCCACTCTGATGACTCATGCCCAAATATGGTAGCACACTGCTATAGTACATTTTCTATAACACAGCCAAAAAGCTCAAATAAAACCATTCTAAAAGCCTGTATCACAAAAATGAAAAAATAAAATGCCTGGGAGTATTTGCCCACTCTACCTTCTTCCCAAATTTCATGTTATTTGGCCCCAAAATGAAGGAGTTGAATCAATTCAAAAAGAATCAAAGAAATGGCAGGAGGAGGAGGAGAAGAAGAAACTCGAGCAAAAACAATTATTATATGACTTCACCACTAGATCAGGTGAAGTCATAATCACTCGTCTATACTGATAAACAGGATGTACATGTGTGTGTGTGTGTGTATACTGTATAGTTTACAGACAGTTAAAGGCACTGCACCTTAAAGGCACTGTTGCATCTACATGTATGATCCTATAAACTGAGAAAATTTGACAATTATCTTACATCATGATGATGTTAATGCATGTAGTTAGTAAGCTTCAAGCTGAACCACATGTACCATGGAATGTACATTGAAGATGTATGATTGAAGTTGATAATGATGTTCAACAGTGTATTATTTTTTCACAGGGCCATGGTCTGAGGAAGGGTATCCTGGGCCTGTATGTGGTGGGGATGCTGGGATTCCTTATCGCCCTACTGGTTTATGTGGGACTGAACTGATCCTTCAATCTGCAGGGGTCTGTAGAGTTCTCTCCAGGGCTCCATGAAATTTCTCCGGGACCCTACTGGGAGTACTATGTTGTGTCTGTATGGAGCTAGGTTCTGCGTATCATCCATTTTTTGAAATAAAGACTAAGCTTTAACTTCCAACACTTAGGTTACAGAATTGGGACTTACCCAAATTTCTTGCAAAGAAGTCCGATTCAGAATCAAGGATTTTCACCCGAAAATTTGGGTAAGTGTTGGAAGTTAAAGCTTAGTCTTTATTTCATAATGACTTGTACCAACACAGATGAACTTTCATGCTCATCCATTTTTGTTGACCTTTAATACAGTGTAAACTCAAACATTGTCATTAATTTTGAATTTTTCAGATTTCATATTATTAAACAAAATTTAAAACATGAATCAATCACAGGGAGATTTGTGACAAACTGTATTTTACATACTACCTATTTCACATCATTTACATATTCATGACCACTCACAAAACTTAAAGCAACTATCATGTGTTAAACACAGTTTATTTGGATTAGTCGTATCCAGTCTTTGATACCAGAGAAGATCTTTTTACATATTTAAAGTTTCACAGAAAGCATATTTTTATGGAAGAAGGTGTCAAATTTCCCCTATGATTCCTTAATTAGTTGGGCAAAGCCAGCCTTTACATATTATTCTTGTGGAAAAGTTTAGTTACTGATCTTGGGTTAAATGGAATACTAAACAGCACTAACTGTATAAATTCTGAAACATCATCAATTTTAGTAGAATTACGTTGTGTGATACAATGTACATGTATCTCAAGCAAATTAAGTGTAAGTTACAAAAATTTAATGTATGAATAAGGTCCTGGATATAGGATAAAGCAAAATGAACAGATGATAACATCACTATCATACAGTAATAACAACACTTATGATATCATATAGTTAGCTTCACTCTGCTCTGTACAAAAGTACAACTAATTGTAAGAGTGTTCAAAAAAGTCTTCAAAGTGCCTTTCTTGTTAAGCTCAATTTTCCCAATTTTTTAAAATGCTTTTTGATCTTGATTTTCTTTAAGCAGAGCCCTGACCATTGGTACAGTGAGTAAGACTTACTGCTCTTAGAGGCAATATTCTCTTGATGAAGCTGTTATCCTCAGGTCTCACTTAAACACACAACATCTACCGTAACAACTAAAAAAAAGTATGTCCCATGTTACGGTAGATGTTGTGTGTTTAAGTGAGACCTGAGGATATGAGACTGTATATATTTTTGCACTGAGGTAAGAGGTCTGTATTGTGTTGTCTTCAACAAAAATAGATTGTTTAACAGCTGATTCTACACTACCAGAAATGTTTTTTTCTTGTTTTTCTTGTTTTCCTTGTATCTTGAAATGGTATCTTGTAGCAAGAAAATTATTCTTTGAACAAGAAATTAAAGAATCCCCGTAACAAGAAAATTCAAGAAACACATGACTTTTTTTCTTGCTGTCCACAAGAAAATATTTCTTGGACTAAGAGCTAACTGTACATAAGAAAAGATTTCTTGTAGCAGAAAAAATTACTGTAACCTTTCTTAAAATTCTAAAAATTCTTAAGATTCTTGTTTGTGAGCATTGTAGTAGAAATATTTTCTTTTCTTAAGAAAAAAGAAGAATACAATTCTTGTAAGAAACAACATACAAAATCTTTGAAGAATGTTTCTCAAATTTTCTTGAAAATCCACCTGGCAAGAAAATATTTCTCAACATAAGAAAATAAGAAAAATAAAAAAACATTTTTGGTAGTGTATTTACATTGTAGAGGTGAGACACGTTTCTACAGTTTTACATAATTGTACAACCATGGGCTTACAGAAGGTCTTCTACAATGTAAGACTGAAAAGCTGGAGATAGTTTAGTGTGTGTCTTTTTACAGTATGTATGTCTAAGGTGAGTTGATTGACTTCACCACGAAAGCAGCATTTGGTATTCTATGATGTGAAATGTGACGGGCAATCAAAGAATCTACAAATATTATCCCCACAAAATATTTTGTTAAAAGCAACACAAGTTCTTTTGCATGTTTCAATAATATTAAAGAAAAAAAAGGCATTTCATACTTTATTTACTTTTGTATGCTTAGTCTAGTAGCATTCATTTATTATTTAGTATAAGTCCACACCTTTGTAAGTAGAGTACAAACTAGAAAGGCCAATATTTGCTTTGGAGCAAATATAGCGATGGGTTCACCACATTTTACCACATGGCGGGGAAAGAATGAGAAACACAAGGGAAAACAATGCTTTACATTGATATAACTATAGTATGAAGTAACATACAACTAAGACTACAACAGTTGGATAGCTATTCCCTACATTATTGGTTAGGATTGCATAATGCAAACTGTTGATTTTCAAGATAAAAAGAAGCGTTCATAGCCCGCATTCCAATGCTGGAGCAGGAAAGCTTAAAATACCTACCAAAACACTTGAGTACAGACATACTGTCAGTATGGCATGGCTCTGTGCAGGTGTAAATGAAGTTAAGCCAGTTAAATCCCAACAGCCAATCAGCAAGGAGAATAGAGGAAAGCTGCATGCCTATTGGTTGATGCCTTGCATGCCATTGTGATGACTCATGTCCAAATGTGGTAAACACTGCACACTTACACAGTAATACATTAGCTATTACACAGCCAAAAAACTCAAATAAAACCATTCTAAAAGCCTGTATCACAATAATTCAAAAAACGCCTAGGGGTATTTGCCCACTGTACCTCCATACCAAATTTCAGGACCTTAGGCCCTAAAATGAAGAAGCTGAATCCATTTAAAGATATGGCAGGAGGAGAAGGAGGAGAAACATCAGAAAAAGCAATATGGTTTCACCACACCACTTCGTGGTGTGGTGAACCCATAAATATATCTTATGCATTTGATGTAATGAAATTCAATGCTAAGATTTAGTCCAACAGGATTTTTTTTGTTTATTTTGACATGAGGTTCTTCAGTAACATATATATATTATGTAGTGTATGGCAATGTTCCTTTTCTTATGCATGTAGGCTTCTGGTTGGGTCAGAAGCAGAGTACCAAATGCTACACAAGTCTAAGGTGCACTCCCATGTATAATCATAATTCAGTGGTGAATACTCATACCATATATAGGTTAGGTAGTTAGCTTTGTTGCTGGTCTACTATATATATATAACCCAAACACAGTTAACAAAGTGTGCAAAAGCTGCATGTAGCAGGGAAAGATAAGTGTCATTACAAGTAATGAAGACTACGTGTACATGTATGTTACATGTACATGTAGTGTGTGTGAATAGATGACTTTCAATGGAACCAAGTGTCCGATTGAATAAAAAGAATCAACAGATTGTTNTTTTTTTACGNGATTTGAACTAGTGTGGGATAAGTGGGGAGGGATGGTAGCCGCGGGGGGAAGTGTAGCGGCTTGATAAATTTTCGAGAGCAAGTTCCGCGCACTGGAGTTGATTTCTCACGCGGCCGTTTGTG